GTCGGCCTCGAGCTCTTAACAATTATAACTATAAATTTGAAGTTTGTCAAGTGAATTGTACCCAAAACTTTAAGGCCAATAACTATATGCAATCTAAAATTTCAAAGGGAGTCTTGCCCAGTCTAACAAAACAGTGATAAATATCCAATACAATCATAATTTCTTTGATTATAGCATTGTAAACATCAACATGCAAAATAAAGCTAATTGTCGAGAATAAATTCAACATGATTTGTATTTTTTTTTCTTTCACAAGAAGACTCTAACTCGTAGCTTTTTATTTTTATTTTTTTTTATACTTAGAGATAAAAACAAAGTAATTGAGTGAAATTATTTATTTTTTTTTTTGAAAAAAAAAACCTATAAATTTGAAGAGACAACGAATTTTAATTTGTTGTGACATAAGGAATTTTTTTTTCATCATATCCTCTCGCAAATGCAAGATTATGAGAGTAATTTTCCAATTCTAATTTTTTTTTCATTTTTAATTAGCCAAGAGTATGAATTAATAAACACTAAAGGTAAAGCAATTAATGACAAGGAAGATACATTGTACCAATTGCGGAAGGAGTAGGGTTGGCAATTTGCCCCACCCTAATAGAGCCCCACCTCGCCCCTCCCTGTTTCATCCCGGTTAGCGCGAGGATTCCGCTCATTGATCAAGGAACGAGGTGGGGCGGGCGCCTCGTGAACGGGGATGGAACATGGATGGCATTTGCCCGTCTCGCCCCATTTGCTCCATTTCATGATTTTTAACCCTAAAATTATAATTATACACAATATAAAATTTGTGACTAGGGAATTTTAGAGTTTTTTTCTATATTAACTATCATTTTTTTCTATAGTTTGAAATTTGATAATAGAGTGGGATAAGACGAGGCGTGAAAAAAATTTGATAATTTTTTACCCCGTTTGCCTCGCTAGTACCCCACGGGGATCCCCGTCCTTGTTTGAGGCAAGGATAAAATGAAAAATTTTACCCCATTCGGGGCACGAAGTGGGGATGGGGCAAAATTTTTAGGGACGGGGCGAAGACGGGAATGGCGATCCTCAGCCTGCCTCATTGCCATCCCTAGGAAGGAGTAGAAACGAAAACAAAAAGGTTATGCAAAAGTGAACTATAAGTAAAATAAAAGGCCCAAAATAAAGTCAGCATCCAAAAACGATGACGAGAAAAATCAAATAAATTCAACAGTATCTTAGAAATGTCCATATCAAAACATAAAATATTGAAAAATCTTATGTAGAATCAGGTGGATGATGGCATGAAAGCATAAAATAAACTCAGTCTTTAAGGAGGATCTGCAAGTGCAAGAACAAAATTTCATCCATGGAAAAAGTCCTATTTTTCCACTTTTAATTTTGAAAATACTTTCTATCAACTCATGATAATTCCAAGTGTTGTCTAATTATTGACTTAATAAGATGGTAATAAATACTAATAAACCTTCTCCAATTTCTAGTGTTCATGATAGCCTCTCTTTTTTAGGCGAACAAGCACAAAGAAATTAAAAAGACGTTTGTTCTCATATTTGTTTTTTGTTTAGGTATTAACGATATTTGTATTATTTGATTAGTTTTCATATTAAAAGAAACCATGTTTCTTTCTATTCGAATTTTAAATAGGCCATCAAGAGATGTAATGGTACATTAAAAAAAAAAAAATTACTCTCTTACAATTTCTTTTAGGAATTGATCCTTATATGATAAGTGGAGAACAAACGCATTTACTAACTTGGCTAAGCCTATGAGGATAGTTTCATTTGAGCCTATATTTAGTTTTAAGAGGTTATTTTTAATAATGTAGGGATTGCTAATAAGTTTATCAAAGCTAAAAGGACTAAATTATAATAAACTCCAAAAATAGTAGTTTAATGGTGGTTTTCTGCTATTGAACTATTAAGGTTGTGACATATCATGTTTTGAACAAATGTTGCTCCTGTATTTTTAGTATTTTAAAGTTAAATATTTGCTATTTTCCCATTACGTTATGAAGTCAAACTTTGATTCTAGACCCAAACCCTCTTTAAAGAAAATATATTTTTGGTATTTTAAAGTTAAATATTTGACATATTCAAATAAAAATTAAATCTACTGAAAAGAAAAAACATATTTGCAAGTCAAATGTGTGACACCTAACTAAAATTAAAATAGATTAGTTCTAAAAATTAAACGTGTAAGTTCATATGATTTCTTCAAGAATCCTCACAAAATTTGCAAACATTCTAAATTACTTTATAGTTTTTATAATTTATTGAATTTTTATTCTTTAAAACATATATAAAAAAAGTACCTTTCAACCTAAAAAAGCTTTCAAATTATTTTTGAAATGGATTTTATATTCATTAGCATTTATAAAAAAATTCCAGCTCAAAATATAAAAAACATTGAAATTTTTAAGGTGTGTTTTCATCAACATTCAAAGTTTGACCTTATTAATTTAATGGTCAAACAAAGACTAACAAAGATACAACATTTGTCTAAACATAGGATAATTCAATAATATAATTGACCAAATTAATGGTAAAAGCTTCAATATGCCATTAAATAAAAGAAAAATAGCATGTAATGGATAATTATACTATTACCAATGAAACCTACTTTTCAATTTTTCCTAATCAATTACATGAATTTAAATATTTTTGTTTTAACATATCAATTTTTTCAAAACTTACAATCAACTAATAACAATTGCTCCGATTTCTTTGTTTTTTGTTTTTCTTTTTTGTTGAAGTGTCCTTTGTCCTTAACTCAATGTTACATCAAGTTTTACTTTTTCACAATTGAATACATGAATTTTAATTATTTTTTTATTTTAGCACATCAACTATTTTTTTATTGTAACAGTCAAGTACTTAAGAAATTTGAATTTATTAAATAAAAATATCTTAAACTACAATAAATTGTTTTAAAAATTATTTTTTTGAAAAGATCATTTTCTTCTTATTTTATGATTTTTTTTTTAATATATGATCGATGCTATTTTTAAATTAGTTTTCAAATAATTAAACTAAGTTTTTTCTCTATGTTCCTTTCAATAACAAATCACATACTCCGAGACTAAAATTATTTTATGATTAATTAAAATTAATAGATAAATTATAATACTATTAAACTAAAAATAATTTTAATAAACAAATAGATATCATGTGACTATAAAATAAAAGGAAGTTTTATGAAAGTACAAGATTGATGCAACTGTAAAAATCAATTTACCATAAATAAATAAATAAATAAAATCCATATACTTAATCGAGAAAATGTAAAAGTTAGTGTAAGGTCAAATGAGGGGTTAATTATATCCAATGTCACTCTGCTATTGGGATTTGATTACTTGGGTCCTTTACCATTAATAAGATTAATGGAGTCCTTTTAGAATATATTATATTTACAATCAGGAACCTTCATCTATAGCACCATTGGTAGTAATTGTTTGCCTCATTGGATGTGCGATACGTGTCCATATGTTCAACTTGACCTAATTTTCAATTTTTAAAGCAAGAAAATAGCTTGTAAAATATGAAATTTCATTTTAATTTTTTTGAGAAATACAAAAAAGAAAATATGAAAAAAGAAATTTATCCATATCAAATAACATTCAAAAACTAAGAAAGTAAGAAAAAAATTTAATTGAAATATTAGTAAAGGGATTTATTTAGATTTTCTTACACTGTTTGGTATCTTGAAATTATTTTTAAATGAAAAAAATGCTTGAAAAATAAAACTTAATATTTTAAATATTTTAAAAATGAGAAAAAAATAAAAAAATATTAAGAATGTAAAAGAAATCTAAATATATTCCTCTACTAATATTTTTTTCCCTTATGTTTCGAATGTTATTTCACATGGGAAAATTTCTTTTTTAATATTTTCTTTTCTGTTCAATTTCTAACATTTTCAAAAATGAAATTTCATTTTTTTCAATCCATTTTTTCTTTAAAAATTGAAAATCAGGTCAAATAGAATACATGAATATGTTTTGCACATCTAATAAGTTAAAAAATTAGTCATAACAGCATTATAAAAGGAGAATCTTAATTGTAAATGGAATACGTTTTAAAGAGAATTCGTTAATTATATTAATAGCAGAGGGATGTTGATTGTAATTAACACATCAAAAGACACATCTCAAAAGACTGAGCAACTCATAGAAGTTAGAAATAAATATTTGATTGGAAAGTTTGAAAAAATCAATGGACTCAAACATAAAAACTCCAAAATCCATGTATTCTATTGAGACAGTGAAAAATCGGTTTACCAACAGTGTTTATCCCCGTAACAGGGTGTCCAAACATTTTTAAAATTGAGGGACAGCTGTCAAGAAGAAATTAGCTCTCTCTTTGATTTTTAATTAAAATAAATAAAACAAAATCGTCTTTTTCCTCCTCTAAAACGAGGGAAAAAAAAAAAAACACCACCGCCATACTACAGTGCCCCACTTCACTTCGAGCTCAAATCTCTCTCGATTCAAATCTAAATCAAAGAGGTTTTACCAGGGTTTTTTCAAAATCCCCAAATTTAAAACCCTAAATCCAAGGTCCAATTCAATGCCGATTAAACCTTTCTCGCTGCCTAGGGTTTCTATTTCTGCTCCATAGATCGATCGATCGATAGATTTCTGTTTGGGATCTCATTTCACTCCGTTTCTTCTTCGTTGCTTCATGTATGCTTGGCTCTAAACTCTAGAATTCAACGGTAAGCATTCGCTTTATCATAATTTTATTCTAGGGTTTGTTTCAATCTCTCGCTGTTTGGTTGCAAATAAAATGACAGAAAACTTAACTTCCCGTCCTTATTTACGTAATTAGTTCATTATCTTATTTTTTTCATGTTCTCGTTCAAATTGGAGATTATTAGTTGAATGTTTTTTTTTAAAAAAATTAAATTTATGTTTTTTGAAATTTGGATTTATTTTCCAGAATGAAATGGATGATATATGGGCAGGAGGACGGTGCTATTGAATGTTAATATGTAATGTGAAGTGATATGAGGTATTGAATATGAGCCATGGAGGTGGGGAGAGTGGAAGATTGCATGAAAAAGTAGGTCATAATGTTAAGAGAAAATCTCGTGCAAGTGGAGATGAATTTGCTAGAGCGATTGCGAAGATTTCTGTAACACAAATGTGTGAGAGTCTGGGGTTTCAGTCTTTTAAGCAGTCTGCTCTTGAGAAGTTATCTGATGTTACTACTTGGTACATATGGAATATAGGAAAGGCTGCGCAGTTCTCTGCTAATTTAGCTGGTAGGACAGAGGGTAATGTTTTCGACATTATTCAGGGATTGGAAGAGTTGGGTTTGCCACAGGGGTTTGCTGGTGCTTCAGATGTTGATCATTGTCTTGCTAGTTCGGGTATTGTTAGGGAGATTGTTCAGTATATTGGTGATGCAGATGATATCCCATTTGCATATTCTGTTCCTCCTTTCCCAGTTGCTAGAGAAAGGAAGCCTGCACCAAGTTTTTCCCAGATTGGTGAGGAGCCTCCTGAGGAGCACATTCCATCTTGGTTACCTGCATTTCCTGATCCCCAGACTTATGTTCATTTGCTTGCAGAGAATGAAGGAGGTGCTGAATTTAATGCAGATAAGATTGAGCCTCTAAGGCAGCACCAGAAGATGGATATGTCTTCCATGAATTTGCCACATCAGTTTACTTGCAATGGTTCCGAAGGACCTTCCTCTGTTACATTTGGTGACGGTGCTAGGACAACCCAAGGGACTGAGATTAACCCATTTCTTGTTGCTCCTCTGCAATTTGGAGAAAAGGAAGTGTCCCATGTTGTTCCTCCGGCTAAGCTTTCCGACAAAGCAGCTGTGAGATATCTTGTTGAGCAAACTCATATCGTGGGTAACCATATGTCAGTGCCGGAGGCATTTGCTCCTGCCATTGAAGCAATGAAGAGTAGGTCATGTGATTCTGACAAGGGACAAAAGAAGGTGCTTTTGAATCAAAGACCTGCTGTGCAATTTAAGATTGGGGTTGGAAAGAATTCCTTGGGTGGAGCACTAGATTTGAGCCCTCAGAACAAGGGTATTGCAAAGGTCAGCACATGGTTTGGGAAGGATGGCGAGAATGATGATAAGAAAAGGAAAGCTGAGAAAATTCTAAAGCAATCTGTGGAAAACCCAGGCAAACTGGCTCAGTTGTAAATTAGGTTTAATTAGAAATTGTATACTTGTTTAGGAAACTGGCAACAGAAGCTGGTTCCAGATTAGTTAAGATCGTGGCCACGTGGTTATCAGCATATGGCTCTAAAAGATGGGATTAAGAACCACAATAGAGAAATGTTCTCACTTTAGCAAGTTTTGGAGGTATGTGAATGCCAGTTTCCCATCATACGCAGCTGTTAGTGAATGATTCTTTTTAGTTGAAATTCTCTCTCTCTCTCTCTCTCTCTCTCTCTCTTAATTATTACTTGTGGTTCTATACTGAATTGATTCTTAGATTTTGCTACTTCTGGCCAGTACTTCATTTTTTTACTCATCAAAAGACCAGTATGCTTGATCTTACAAATAAAACAGATGTGTACATTATGTTAAACATAATTGAACTAACTGATTTTGGAAAGCAAGATGTATTTTGAGAGCAATGTTTTGTGCACTTGTATTGAGGACATTATGGTAAATTACCATGTATTTTGAAATACAAAGTGAACCAATGTTTGGGACCTCCCAAAATGGCATAAAAATTTGGATGGAAGGGGTTAATTAATCACTAGTAATTTCACCAATTTGAGAAATTACCACACTGCAGGTTTGTTTTGTGGAACTGCAAGTCAATTTCATGCATGATTTGATTTGGAGATGTCAAAAAAGATAATCATCACCTCATAGTCTGAAAATTCTATGTAACTATCAACTTAAAGAAACAGAAAACATAATTCATCCTGCTATCATACTGAATTAAAACTAGTTGGACTTGAAACATCTAAAGAAATTCTTTGTGCAGGTGTCTGTTGTGTATATGATGCTATGGGGAAAGAATGAATCTGTTTTCTGCTTACATTTGCTGCTTATGGTGTTATCAGATGTTTCCTGTAAAATAAGAATAAATAAATCAATGATCAATGCTCTATGGCACCCAGTTGCTTACTCTATGCCTTTTTGTTTTCAAAAAGTGTGCTATGTTCTTTTGAAATTCCAAATAGAAGAACATGTAGCTACTAGATGGTGTGTGGCCAGAGATAGATTAGTGAATGAGCTTCTTTCTTTGTTGAAGGTTCTTTTTGTTACACCAAGAGCTTGTTCTCTGGCATAAAATTCTTTTCCTCCTATAACCCAGAAAGTTGTTCATGATAATAATACTTATCATTATCAAAATAGTTATTCAGGAGAGAGCCTTCTGTCTCCTAAGGATTGTGGAAACAGAGCAAAATCAACAAAATGATTGGCTAAGCTTTTATTTCACAATGACTTGCTTGGAATGGGTAACTTCCAGATTCTTGTACATGAAAATTTTCTTTTCTTTGCTTGACGATGTCTTGTTGAGCTTCTCAATAATGTTTCCCTACTAGCAATCCGGAGTTAGGATCAAGTGTCTCTGGCTATGGGATGCAATATGGGGATGGCACTGAATTCCATATGAGCTGTCTTTTGTTTTTTCATTTTATTTTCTGGGAATTTTACATCTCTGATATTGTCTTGTTCTAGGTGATTATCAGCTCATGTATTTTACTCGTTTGGCCTTCCCTACTCTGTTCTTTATTGTTTCCCTGTTGTCATTGATCAGAATTCATGAACATTGGTTCACCTATCCAATATATACACGCACAGATGAACAATATGTTGTCTTTTGGAATTTAGGCAGATTATGGTCTTCCCATCCACTAATGATTTTTTCTGAATTTCTTGGACAATATTATTCAATTGGTGTTTATTTCATCAGTTCGTGGACAATATTATTAGATTGGTGTTTATAATCCTCAACTTTTGGATTTGAAGTTGAAACATCAATATCGTGGTCTTTTGGGCTCATTGGTTCTGCTCTGTTATTTAAGCATAGCTTGTTTTGTGGTCCTTGCTGCATTCAATGATACCGAATTGCGTGATGTGTTATTTTTCTCCTTTTCTTTTGTTTTTGTTTTATGATTATGATCGGTAGAGGTGGCTGCAAGTTGTCTCTCCTCAGTGATGTGGAGATGTCTATGTAGTGCTAGACCAGTATTTTTATGGACTTATGCTGGGACTGTCATGCTAATTTATTATTTGTATTGCCTTATGTGGGATTCTCTCTCTTCCTCCAAAGCTGTATGAGTTGCAATCATGGTTCTTTGTTTTTGTTTCTTTTCCTTATTGAAGAGGAGTTGCAAAGGTAGTTAATAAGCTAAATCTGCTGTGAAATTAACAAGCTAATTGCTAGAAAGAATAAACTATTTTAGGAATTCAAAACTATCATCTATCGAAAGTATGTGATAAATTTCAGTCGATATGTTGCAATTGCAAGGGCATTCTTGCTGAGTGATGGATTTTAGATTCACAAATCATCTGGTTCTTCTATGAGTCAGTGTTGCAAATTTTTCAGACTGCAAATTTAAGATGTTGCACTGTTGGAATCCTTGCAACGATGCTGGAAATTATGCTATTTTGATGGGTAACTAGTAATATGATCTGGTGATCCAAGCTCTGCTTTATTCATTTGTTGAGCGATCCTAACCAACTTCAGAATGTTATCACTATGCTGTATGTTGACAGCTTATTCTTGTTATATGTCATGTTCTGCACATGTTTTTCGAGTTTGCAATTATTGCTACTTTTGAATTTCCAAATTTTCCAACTAAGCGTTTGTTGTGCAACCATTTCATGTATCTGTTTGTGAGAAAATAATTTCTTTTGGATGTCTTTGTTAAATTTGGACAAACAAAAGATGGGAATGAGTTTTTCTCTTTTGATATAACTAAATGAATTATACTATAAACAATCATAAGATATGAGCTTGCTTAAGAATGACTACCCCTCTTAGAAGCTAGAAGTTAGGCATATGTTAGGACTCATCTGTGCTATAAAATTATCAGCTTAACCAGCTTATTTGAGTTTGACATTGTGTAATCAGCAGTTTAATATTAGTGATTTAGTTATTGCGTATTTGCATTTGCAGACAATTTTTGTGTTGTCCTGATGTACCTTGAAAAGTGATTATAGATGCGATTCTGTGTGCATGTGTCCGTGTATGTGTTTTTTTTTTTCCCCTGGAAATATATGCAACTTGTTGGATCCAGTAATCATATTCATGCCTGGAAAACAACAGTGTGTGCTATGTTGAATTAATAGAGTATAACTGGGTATGACACCCAAAAGGGTAAGGATACTTGCATGTATATGGACTGGAATTTATATTTATGTCAAGCTTCTTTTAAAAATTTACATGCTACCATAAAGCTAATTTATACTTGATGAATTATTTTGATTTTGCCTAAAAATTAAGCTAGACCCACAAATTTGAACACCAGTGGGATGGACCGACTAAAATATGATGTTGAAACAGTTCTGCCAAAAAAAAAAAAATTATTTCAGAAATAGTTGCCTGCGATGCCCAGCGAACCTTCCTTGTTGACCAATCATCTCACTGGATATGATCTCTGTTATTAAGTCTTTAAAGATCAAACGTTCCACATCCAAAACTATTCCTTGAATTTCATCATGGCAATTGGTCCAGTGAATCGATTGATGCATCAAAACTTCCCATAGGATGCTTCTTGAATTGTCGTCCTCATCATCGAAAAGGCAATGTGTACCTTGCAGCCTATCTATATCTGAGCACAATTCTCCCAATAACTGCTGTTGCATCTGTCTTTTCCCAGCCAGCATTTTTGACAAGAGCCACCGTTTGCAAGAATTTTCTGGTAGCAATTTGTTGACTAATATTTCATTCACTACATCGAACAGAAGTTTTCTTTGGATTTTGGCTTGAGTTTTTAACTGGGAATTCTTTTTACTGTTGTGATCATCAATGAAGTGGCCAGAGCTTGCTTTGGCTTGCTCGAGGGCATGGAATATATCAGGGTTGATTGGGATGCCTGTTGGATGGAGGTTGATGGTTGTTAAACCAGATTCAAAATCTTTATGGAGACCTGATGCTAGAAGTATTTGGGAAATGTACTGATGATCTGGATTTGTGCGATTATAGAGAGGTGTAGCTCCATCCATGATGTCTTCGTCCTGAGAAGATAATATCTCCTGAAGATTCTGAATTAAGGACTTGATTTTCTGCTCATTCCTATAATTGTTCATTGAGTTGAGACTGGAGCTCATACTGTGTGATGAGTAATTTTCCATAGGAATCCATTCATCATCATCTGTAGTGAGAAAATTGAATGAGCATTCATTAAGAAAGTATGCAGTCATTCATAAAACTGAGACCATACATGCATACGTTGTGTGTGTGTGTTTCACAATGCACCAAACATGCAAGCAAATGTTAACAAGTTTGTAAATATGATCTATCTGTATGTTCTTTGCTAGTATATTTTTCAAGTTTCTATATTTCATGTTCTGCAAAAATATGGATCATTAACATCACCAGTATAATTTTAATCTATTTCCCTCTCATTAAGTGCACTTATTAGTTTCATCTGCTTAATGGTGATCTAAAACTAAGATCAGATCAAATCTACTTTTAGACAATGAAACCTGAATCTAAATAAACAACTCTCACCTTTAAAGGCAATTGATATCTTCTTAATGGGAGATGGTGATTCATCACCATAGAATGTGGCATCAAGAACAGACACAGGACTCGGTTGTTCTGAGGAAGCTGGTCTTGGTTCTGGAAGTGATGTGTCCTTGGTTGACCTTTCCACTAGGTTCTGTATGAGAGAATGAAGCTGTCAGACATGGGGTAGAAGTGATGTATGGATGCTAAGAGGAAAAAGCACATACCCTTTTTTTCCAGTGTGCCTGCTGGATAAAAGTCCTATTGATCTTATGAGATCTGTCAATGCTTGAGACTTCATCATCAACCTGTGAAGCCAAGCTAATGTTGCTCTCAGATTCCAGAGAAACCACATCGCCTTGGTGACTGAAATGTCTTAAGTCGCTAATGTCGCTCAGTTCATCATCACTTGGCTGCAAGTTGAGGGATTTTGCTCTGGGTTTTTGAAGCGGAGAACTCGATTCTGTTGGCTGTTTACCAGGCTTCCTTCTTGTTCTGTTTGAGTCTGATGATGCGGTTGCTGGATGAGATTGCTTCTCGAATCCCAGCTTCTGTTGCTGTCTTAGGTTCATGGTTCCTGACCTCTTACCTGAGTTGGTGGGCTCTCTAGTTGTGGATCGAGTCTCCTTTGAATGGTCTGCCAATGTTATCGATCTAGCTCCAGCATTTTTATCCATTGGATATCGATGACGAGGTTTATTGGAATGGTCTGTAAGATTATTGGTTCTGGGAGATAGATCTTTAGCAGTTTTTTTGTCAAGTGATTCCTTTCTGCCATCTTCAGGGGCAGCAATCTGGAGCCTGTGGATACCTGATGAACTATCTGCTGAGATCACTGCAGAAACAGGAATACTGGCTTTTCCGATGAGTTTAGCTGGTTTCATGATCACAATTGAAGATTTAAAGTTCCTTGGGGAACTGCCCCCTTTGTAGGGACGGAAATGGCGCTGCTCTGTAGGTCTTGCAAATTTGCCAACTTTGAGCTCTGATCAAGACTGCTAGCAATGCTTGTCTGAGTTTCAAAACTCAAAGCTTCTTTTCCGGTCCCTAATATCTCCTTAGTTTTCTGCATTGCTTCAAGTATTTGCTTGAGAGCTCTTAGATCCTTTCCAGACTTTTGGAACTCAAGTTGTGCCAACCTTTTCTCTATTCCACCATAAACAGAAAGAGAGGAGCAGGGGACTTCTGTTAGAGTTGCCCGATTCTTCAAAGCCAGTGTTTGAGAACCTCTGCTTCCATCTGGCTGTCTCCATGGAGCTGGCTCTATTGGAAACTTTGAGGTTGCAGTGTGCTTCTTGACTGATGCAGCATTTCTCTGGTTGGGTGAGGTGGGTTCCTTGTGCGAATTTCTTGGGGAACCAGAAATTCGATTTTGTTTGTCCAAATCAGTTGTTCTTGATGACCGCAGGAACTTGTTTTCTTCATCTAGGTGGGATTTGATCTGCATTGTTTGGTTCCCACTAGTTGACATGGGATCTGGTAGAACTTCTAGTCCCATCAACTTGGCCACTACACTAGACGGTCGTTTATTGCTTCCTGGATCCTGTTGGTTGTTTAGGAAACTGTTGGAGTTCCCATCCACCCTCTCCAAATCCCTTAAAAGATAATTTGATTTCATTTCAGGGTTGGAACCCCTTATGGAGCCTGCTCTACTGTCCAATGACAGCCTGGGGAGCTCCTTGAGCTTTATGGTAGACTTCAATGTGTCTCTTGATTCCCTTCCATCACAAGAAAACCTACGAGCATCCTTCAGTCCACCTGTTAAGGAATCATTCTTCCCTTCACTGGATTTGGAAGGTGCTTCTTGAAGCTTATGACGAACTCTAAATGATTCCCTTGGAGCAGGAACTTTGGGATCGACAGAGTTCGAGTAACGTAATGGTCTCGGGGAATCTATGTATTTCAAGGTTTGGCCCCCAGCTTCTCTTTTGGTTGAAGTTTTGACTGATATGCCACGGGCTTCTCTGTGGATCGAGTCTTTGACAGCATCCCGAAGATCAAGAGATTGTTGGCTTGACTGCAAAGAGCCATTTGGTTGGTACCTGTGTGAGTCCCAAGCATGGTTTTTTGGGACGACATTTTGCTTGAATGAAGATGGTTCTAGCTGAGATGCTTTACTGCATTCAAGAGATGAGATACTGGACGAACATGGGGAAGATGAAAATGAGCTTCTTGATGATTCGGTGGAGGTTGTGTGTTTCTCTTTCAAGCCCTTGGGATTCTTTTCCTGCAATTGGAATTTACATTTGCTTTAACAATTTTGCCAAGCATCTCCAAATAAAGGATTTGATTAAGGATTGAATACTTACCCTGGTCTTCCTTTGTGGGGCTCCTTTGGGCTCTATCCCATTCACATGGCTTCCGTTTTGACCTGGGCAGAAGTTCAATGTTAGCTGTCTAAGGTTACTGGTAAATATTTTGACAAACTTGATATTTATTTCACATATTTATATTTCACCCATGAGCATTAATGATTCATGTGGAACAAGTAAATGCATATGACTGAATGGATGGCAATTTTTATTGCCATGGTTAGAGCTAACAGGATATTGAAACTATTCCTAAATGCAAAAACATGGTCTCGTTTAAAGGAGCCTGGCAAATGGTATTTTTCATTGAAGTAGCAGCACAATCATTCGAAGACGAAGGCTGGGAATAGCTTTCAAGTCGTTGGCTCTGAAGTGGAGGCATTTTCAGTTAACAAAAAAATGAATTCTGAACAACTTCTAACCTATTCCCATGGTTGCCATAACAAAGAATTTCAGCATTATGCAAAAAGAGTGGAGTTTGTTACTTGATTATTATCAAAATTAAAACCTTGTACGAGAATCCACATTGTTAATAACATGGAGGTAATTTGCTTTGTAATTATAGGAAGTACCTGATAGAAGCCTCTTGTGGTTTTGGCTGGTGATACGGCTGCTGCCACCCAAGAAATGGTGGCGGTCAAACAGTTGAAAGATGCCATTCATGCATCCAACTTGCTTCTGCAGATCTGGGTTTTCGTCTGATAAGCCATGCATATACTTCGCAGACATCTTTTCTCAACAGAGTAACCGAAGAAAGACAACTCTCTTAAATGTTGTTGACTTCCATTTCTTCACCTTCTCAGCTCACAATGGTTTCAACAGTTGACCTTTCAAAACTATGATACAAGAGAAGAGCTGTTGAGTCACATAATTCTGCATTTGAATATTTAAAGATGCTTGCTTCATCAAATGTTTACTAGTTACTACCTTGGTTTTTAGCTGGTTGCAGGTTGGAGAGTACAAACATTATTGCGCAACCAGAACATGGAGATTAGTTCTTTTAGAATTGTTTATTTTTTCCCGAAGGGTTGTGACAATTATTGAGTAGCAGAAGAGAATGAAGGAACAAGATTTAAAGATAAAAAGAAAGCAACAAAAAGCCTCTCATTATTTCTTTTCACATGAGAGCAAGGCAGACAATATCTTCTGCCATAACCCAAACGGAACCAAAAAGAAAAATTGGAAGGGACCCAACACTTCAAACGGATACCCACTAGCCCCCACCTTCTTTGGTCTATGAAATGAAACAGTGCAGAAAAAATTTTGCAGACCCAAGAAGGGATGTTTTTTTTGGGTTTTATCACAACACAAAAGAATACTGTCTTTTGGCTCTTTCTAATCTAGGGGGGAAGGCGGGGGAAGGCTGCTGGGTAGAAGCTAGAACTTATATGGAGGGATGCAAGTCTTTTATAAGCAAAAAAAAGCTGTGAAAATCTGCTTAGAGAGAACGAGAAATGCAGGTGGCAACTGCCAAATGCCAGCCTTCAGTACCTTATTGAGAGGGATTTGGAATGTGTGGGTCAAATGTGGGGTGCGATGAGAGAGAGAGAGAGAGAGAGAGAGAGAGAGATGAAGAGAGTCTTGAGTCTTTAACACTTAAACCCAAAAAACAAAGGTAAATGATCCGATTAGGAATAGATAGATGAATAAACAAAGGTGAAGGTGGGACAGATCTGCCATGGTCATTTTGTGGACAAAATAATGTAGGGGTGGTGGTGGACCTTTGTGTTCATGAGCATCCCACAGCCCTCTGGTGTGGAGTAGTGGAACATGCATAGCAAAGTGGATTTATGTAACGGAAAGCACACCCTTGAGCCCCTTTTGTCAACAATTTCTATCCTTCCTTGCTATCGGAGACACACGCTTATGTCCAATATGATACATGCCCATCAGCATATTAAGGTTTACTGGAGCTTTAACAGTGCCCAATTTGTTAGTATTTGGTTCATCATTGACCCTCCCATCCTTGGCCTGATGAAATTTAAGTACAAAACATCAACAAAATGATCTCATGGTGAATTTGACGAAATCTATAATTGTGCCATTTAATATAGTTTCTGCAGCACCTATTCTAGGTGCATTTATTTCTGCAGGTTGCTCCTGCTTTTGCCCTGTAGGTTAGGTTTATTTCCTCAAAAATCTGTTCTGATTATTATCTAATTGATTTTGAAGGGTTTATTCCAAGTGTCCCTCTTTGTTGAAGTCGTTGGTTGGTAGTACCATGTGGTTTATTTTTTTTTTATGGGTCATGTGGTCTTAATCATCTTCTATCATACATTAATTACCCCCTCCATCCATGCAACAAAAATAATATTGTAGGATAATTGATGAAAACAACACAAGTACACAACATTCTACTTTTTCTCTCTCTCTCTGAAGTTAAACTTTTAACCGCTTTCAATTGAGGTATTCGGAATTGATTAATAAACAAGCGTTTGTTTATGGGATTGTGGCTAAACCCTATATGAGACCACAGAAACTATTTAAAGGACCTAAACCGATGATTATCCTCTCTCTATTTTTTGGCTAAGTACAAGAATGAATCCGTACCTTATAGTCAGAATCTACAAACATTTGCTGTGCTCTTAACCTTATTAAACAAGATGGGCTCCTCAAACTCTTGTTTTCAATCTTTTTTGGAATAATTAAAACCTGAGCAATTAATTGATATGTGTTTCCAAATATTACACTGAAGTTTTGCCGATGATCTTCAGGACTCTTGGATTTGCCTATTTTATTCAAAATTTTGATAAACACCACGTATAGATAATCAAAACATAAACATCCTAGAATTTTCTTCAATTCTATGGACCCTTGCACATAATGATACTAGCGTGGAGCTGATGCAATTATAAATAGCTCTGATGTGAAATTTTAATTTTCTGAATTTTATAGCTTAATTTGCATTCTATGACATTAATGAAATGCTATGGTAAGTTTGTTTCTGACCCAAAAAAAAAAAAAAAAAAAAAAAAAAAAAAAAAAAAAAAAAGCTTTTTCCGTGGGCAAGGTACCATGCATAAGTCCCATAACTATGATGCATGCTTGTGGCCAAGTACAATTCAGAATTTCAGATGGATGATGAAAAGCCCAAAAGCTGGTGTGTGGTCCTCTATGGATATGCATAAGATTAAATCTGCAGTCCATCTCCTATCTATACATAATCATTCTTCTCTGTTTTTCCAACTGTGGTCCTGCAAATAAATATTTGCCGTTTTAATTTCTCCTTCTTGCTTTTTTTTTTTTTTTTTCAAGCAATCAAACTTTTGTATACCCATCAAATGTGTCATTACAAGCATGTATTCCCATAAAGTTAACCAGCCAAAAATCAGATTTTTTTTTCTCTCTGTCTTTCTCAATCCTGTAAAGCCAGCCGTAATGCATGGTTAACAAATACTTGTTGGAAAAATTAGAATTAAAGTGTTTGAATATCCTTTGCAATTTAATTTTAGGCAATGCAAGCTGAAAATTAATTACATTGTTTAATATAGCCTGGTAAGGATCTCAATCTTGTGGTCGTATATGCTAATTAATTAAAGCATTGTACTTAAAATTTATTTCATGGCCTTCTGGACTACATTACACTCTTGGAAGGAATTAATGCTAGCAGCAGTCGACAGCTGCTAGGAACACTCTCCCTTACATGAATTGAAGACAATTTACAAATATCTGTCTTTAATAGCCGGTTCTATTTTGTATTTGTATTTACTATATAACTATGGAGTTTAATTTAATTCATCCGAACGAGGATTGTGGAGATGATAAAGCTGAGGAGGAGAAAGATGATGCCAAAGCTAGTGGCAATTTTTCAGGTGAAATCAATGAACCATATGTAGACATGAAATTTATATTCTTACTACAAAACTATGCCAAGTCTAAAGAATTTGGTGTCTCGACTGAGCTTGCACAACTCAAACCAAAATCCTAAACAATTAATGTCAAAATGTCTCTCTAAGATAACCTCTCATACCACCGAAGCAGACATTAAACAATACATAGTTGATGGTCTATAGAGAGAGACGGATAGAAAGCGGTTAACTCAAGGGAAAGTCCTTATAATTTTTGGATTCAAAATCTTAAAATCTGAAGGAAAAAAATTTCAATTAACATTATATTATAATGAAAATGTTTTATTTTAAATAGTTCTTTCAATTATATGTGAGATAAATATAAATTAAAGATACATACGGAATAAAAAATTATAAATAATTTTTTAAAATCTTATATTTTTAATAGCATCACTGTTTGTTCATTAGAGTAAAAATTAATCCAAGACAACAATAAAAAATAATTTATAAAAAATTAATTAAAGATTCAATTTAATAATTTGATTGATTTTTATATAATTTAATCGTATTCGGATTTTAATACTTTATGTTCTATATTGGCATGTTTCTAAGCTTTTTTTAGACTTTTAATAGTCAAAATAAAATACCAATATAGTATACTATATAATTTAGAAGTGATTCAAGTGGATTTTTTATGTTTTTTTTTTAATTGGTGTACAAATATGAAAACAATGAAAAAAAAAAAAGGATAACTCTATATTTTAGAATTCATTCAAAAAATAGCCTATCTTTTTGCGAATTAATATATTTTTTAAGAAATTTACCAATAGTGGTATTTTCCTCAATTAGAAATGGGGTTGGATTAATTACTTATCAATATTATTGGTAATATATTACAATAATAATATTGAATACGGAAATGAAATAATGGGTAAAAATAACCTTATGATGAAAATTAATAGTTTCCCTTTTGCTTGGAAAACCCAATTTCAGCATCACCTTTGGTTTCTAAGATGCATGGCGACAGTGTTGAACTCGAACTTGAGACTTGCCATCTTTTTCGTAAAAAAGTGTACTATTTAAAAGAGGTTTAAAAAATAATGCATTTGCTATGCCACTTGCCTTTCAATATAATTAATTAGATTTATGATTGGATGCTAATAAAGCTAGGGAAGCATGTCACGTGATTTTTTTTTACCAATTAGTTGTAACATAGGAAAGTGGTACCTAACTAAATTAATCAATGCTTATTTTTCAAACCCTACCACGAACCACTCCATGCACCCTGCCCCTCCCAAATCCGACGAGCTAGCTTTTATTTGGTTTAATGATAAAAATTATTTAATTTTAAATTTTTATTATCAATTTGAATAATTTTAATTTCAAAATATTAGTTTTGGATAAATTTTATCCATATCCATTAATTATAACTATTGGCCCAATTAATCATTACATTTTTTTTTTTTACTATTATCTTTTAAAAAGTTAAAAATGTATTTTCTTTATTTTTCAAAAGAGATTCTTTCTATTTTAAAATTTCACATGTTAATCACTTTGATGACTTTTATGTAGTATCATTATTCATTAAAATAATCAACTTTTATAATTAATAAAATATAAATATCTATTGGTTAAATTTGATCAATTAAAATTATCAAATAATAAATTTTAATTGAGAATTTTTTTTTGTCATGTCAATAAATTTATTTTTGTGATTGTCAATCATTAAATTTTAAATATAATTGTATTTATTTAATAATTCTTTTATCTTCACATGGTTTACTAGATTTTTTAATATTTCAACCTTTATGATCTAATTCTTTATTAATTGCAAAAATCTTATTTGACTGATTAGCATGTGGAGATACACATAAATTGGGATATTAGGATATAAAAGTGACAACCATGCTTGCTCAACACACACACACATATATATAGAAG